TTGATTTATCCCCCCCCGTATCCGTTTGGATGACGATTCTTACAAGAACCGGATTCATGGCTTCAGTTCAGGGGTAATACGGATACAGTTACGTGAAGTTGTACAAAGCGCATTTGTTTTAAGATAGAACACTGGAAAAGACAAATAATCCACAAGGTTAGGCACTGGACAGCAAATAGCATTGCAGCGGTAACTACGCTTAGTTACGATTTTTCCCATCCATTCATTTTGCACTAGATCTATTCCGCATAGCGGTGCACAGAATAGCTGTGCTATTCTTCTAGTGGCAAAAAAACTTGTGATGTTTTCCAAGGCGGTAATGACAAAATCCCGGCCGTTCAACTTTCTCGGCCATGTTAATTTCGCCATACTGCTCCAAAGGAAGCTCTTAGTTTATTACAACTTTATCAGAAGGCTTAGTTTCAATGCATGCTTATTCTCGCACGTTCGCTCAGATGAAACATTTCATAGCCACCAATACACCTAGCCATATCACGTCGTTTATCGCCTGTCTTCATGATCGTTCGTATCGACAACGTATCGACGATGGATCAGCTGTTCTTTGAACCTTGGTCGTTTAACAGCACTAACAGCACAACAATACAATAATGTGAACTGTACGTATTCAAAAAAAACTATGGAAAGTGATATCGAGTTGTTGCCTGCCTAAATAAAGTTCCTTAATTTTCTTTTCCTAATTCATGGTTCAAAGTAACAGGTTTCCAGGCGATGTTGACTTGCCCTAATTATCAAAGTCTTTCGACACCGGACATCGGCGTCATCGTCAGGGAAATAAACAAAAACTATATATAGGATGCAAGTAAACAAATAGGAAATTTGAAAAATAAACATTTCGAGATTTTCATAATATCAAAAAAGCAACTTACGTTCAAAGGCAAAGCAAGGAACGAGTCAAAGCAAACCAAAATGACGAACAGCGCGAACAGAAAATAGTATGTGGCAGCGGTTTTGAGGTCAGGATACGCTAAACAACACCGGTTACCGAACCGAACCGATCAACCGAACACCGACCAGCAATTGTGATGATGTACAGCGTCGACGTCAACAGACCGCTGAAGTTGTTGCCAACCAACACGGCGTTACTGTAGCTGGATGGAAAATCGGCGGCCAGACCGTAAATGCAGTTTTGGTACATGCCGGTGGCTGAATTCAAAACAAGCACGCTGATCATCGTCAAGGCGAAGAACACACCGGGCCCTAAAAC